GCAACCTCTTTCCCTTCCTGAGGACTCAGATTCCTGCATGCACCTCGCACTGGGTGGTCCCTCCTCTACATATGAGTACCTACGAGTAGCCCAAGGCGGACTCAGCCCTGGGAGACTTGAGGCCTTAGATCAGGGACCAGGGGCTGCTCCTGCAATCCACCCACCTCCCAGGCTAAGGTCTCCCTCCTGCTGCTTGCCTACCCACCCACTGAAGTGCCCTGTGGGGGACAGTTCTTATTCAGAGAGTGGGGCTGCAGCACTTGCCTTGCTCAGTCTCCAGTGCTGTATGCCTGAAGAAATCTGATTTCTCTCCACCTGCACTAGCCCCCAGGCCTCCCAATGGTGGCCTCCCTCACAGCCTGGCCTTAGGATGCCCACGAGGTCTCCCCCTTGTCAGTTTTGTAGTGGTTCTGTGGGTTGTCTTCCATGTCCCTCCCTCCCTGTGCCCCTGTCCTGGATGCCCCAGTTGTGTCCTGCCTGAACTCCCTGGCCACTGAGAGGTGTGCACCCGCCCCCAACCCAGGTGCCCAAAACCCAGACCCCAGGCCTGGGGACCCTCTGCCACATCCATCCGCCCCCCAGCAACTCCAGTGCACACCACAGCCTCCCACACAGTGTAGTCACCAGCTAGTGGCCAGGTTCCCTTCCCAGTCCCCTACCCCCATCTCCCCTCCTGCAGGCACCCCAAGGTGGGGACACAGGCCCCACTGGGTTGGGTCCCAGGGAGCCTGGGGCTCTCAGCACAAAACCCATATCCTCAGAGGTCCTCAGGAACTTCCTGTCCTGCTCCTGCCCACCTCAGAGCTGACCATGTCTGGACTCCCTCCAACAACTACACACCCACACACTTATACACGCATTTGCACGCCCACACACTTCATCCTCATGCTCAGGCGCACACATGCACTGCTTTCTGCCTTGTACCGCTCCAATGGCCTTCCTCTGGGAAGCTCCCTCCACAGCCAGAAGAGTGAGGTGTCCCTACTGCATGCTCAGTGCCCCCAGTCACACAAACGCTCAGCAAATGCCAGTGCGATGATTCAATGTCTGAGGCAATGGAGCCCTGCCTGGAAGGTCTGGGGAGGGTTGGTGTAAACCTGAGGTGGGAGGCCCCTCCTCCCTCCCAGGGCCTCTGGAGGTGCAGGTGGCTGGGCTGGTAACCACGTCGCATGGTGACCTTAGGACACTAAGGCACTATGGGTCTGTGGAGGAACGAGGGGGCCCCCTCTCTGCTCTGCTCCAGCCTGGAACCCGGGAAGTGAGGGGCCTCCTGCAGGAGTGGGGGGTGTGGTGGGGACAGGCCTAGGGAGTGAGTCATGATGGCGCAGCCTGTACCGCTCCTGCAGCCAGGCCAGGGACTGCTGCTACAGGGAGGCCTGGGCCGTAGAACCCTGGGCTTTGGCAGGGAGAGGTGTCAGGAGGAGCAAGGGTATGAGGCTGAACCAGGACCCCTGCCCAAGCTCGGTGGCCCCTCAAGGACCCCCCCTAGGCATTGCTGGCCAAGGGCAGGACACTGTGCCCCTCGGACTCCACGGGGTGCCCACATTTTCAACCCCTCCTTCAACCCTCCACCCTGATGCGGCCCAAAAAGCCGCGTTAAAGCCACTGCAGGCTCTGCCCTCTCAGTGTGTGGCAGTGCCACTCTTTCTCTGCCCTGCATACCCGCTTCCTGCCCTGAACACCTGTTGTGTCCACCTGCTCCTCCAACAGCCAAGCATACCACAGGACCAGCTGCCGCCCCTCAGCCATGCTGCCCCTTGTCGGGACCCCAGCCCAGTCCCCCTCCCCATTCTTGTCCAGCCACCCTGCACGCAATCCGCATCCAGACAACTCACATCTGTGGCGCAATGGGTGCTGCTCCTGGAGAACAGGAGTCTGTTCTGCTCTGCTAACCTCCAGGACCCAGATGTGAGGGCGCAGGACCTAGATGTGAGGGCGCAGGACCTAGCAGGTGGCCACATAAAGGCTAAACCAAGAGCAGTGTGGACAGCAGGCAGGTGTACCAACTACAGCTTGTCTGCCCATGTGGAGGAGGTGGGGCTCCCCAACCTCCCCCCAGGGCTGAATAGCCCAAGGCCCCAGACTCTGGATACACTGCAGCTGCCTAGCTGGCAGGGGCTGGCCAGTCCCACATGGCCTGAGGGGTCCCAGCTGCTAGGAGGCCCACCCCCTTCCCCCCTTGCTCATCAGCTGGCCTGAGCAGCTTCTGGGGGAGGGGGAGGGGCAGACTTCTGCCTCTACCTCCTCCTACCCTTGAGTCTTACTGCAGCTGAATCACCACCCAGACTGATGGCCCTGTGAAGGCAGTGGGCCTGAGATGGACAGACCCCCAGAATGGAGGGCCACCCAACCAGGCTCAGCACCCGTTATCTCCTGGGGTTGGCTGTTCCAAGAGAGTTGAGTCCAGGCCCCTGAGACCCTGGGCCCAGAGTGAACAGGGTGCTGCTCAGCCCCAAAGGGCACCCCAAACCTGGCCCCCTGGTGGTACCCTACCTTTTCCAGGCCAGGAAACAAGTCCTTCTGAGCCCTTCCACCTGCTGGCCGGCTGGACACCAGCCCTCCTGAGGGTGTGCACCCGGCTAAGTCCAGGGCCCGACCCAGGGCCACCTCTCACCACCAAGCACAATGTGGGGGGAGGGCCTTCAAGGGCTCCATTGTTCCCCCTGAGGCTCGGGGTCTGAATCCCTGATTGTCCCTAGGGCTGGATGGGTCCCAGAGAGGGAACCAGTCTCTCCCAGGCTGTACAGTAGGTCAGGAGGCAGCCCAGCCCCATTTCACTTGCCCCCAGGCCTAGGGGCTGCCCAGCGCCCCTCTGCCCACCGTCCAGTGTCCAGGCCCAGCTCTCGCCTGCCCTCCGCTGTGCATCTGGACTTTTGGATGGAGCCCAGCCTTTCTATTTCTGTCTGGGCTCCCTGCCTCCTCCAGGTCTGCATCCACCATCTGTCTGGGTTCCACCGTAGGAGCATGGCCTGGGCATGGACCAGGGCTCAGGCGAGTGCCTCCTGTGCCTAGTACAACTCAGCTGCCCCGACTTGAGATGGGCAGCTTTTGGAGGTATCTTCTGAGACCCCACAGAGCCTGAAACCCTAACAGAGGCCCCCAGGTGTCTTCCCTGGGCTGGCCTCTCCAGGAACATCAGGGCCGGCCAGACCCGCAGTGGGCCATGCACAAGGCCCCCAGGTGCAGAGGCTCATCCTCTGTAGTCTCAGTCCCTCTTCAGGTATGCAGTGTCTGTCCCTCTGCCACCATCAGCCCAGCTCAGGGACCAGGAGGAGTGCTTCATGCAGGATGAGCCCCCAGGACCTTCTGACCCCAGCCTCAATGGCAACTCAAAGAGACAGTGGGGGATGAGGCCCTGCACCCACAAGGTGGGAGCCCTGGGCAAGTAGCGTGCAGCAGCTCAGGAGCAGCCCTCTCTGGGGGCCAGCAGCCCAGAGCAGCAGATGTCAGATGGATGCTGCTGCCCAAGGACCTCCAGGGGCTGGCCAGTTAGGGTGTGGCTGCCAAGAGCAGGGTGGGGTGGGGTTGGGTCTGGAGTGGTATACTGTGGCCCCACCCACCCAGGGCCGTGATCCAAGGGCTCAAGGACACTCTAACCCAGCAGTTCTTTATTTGGATGTTGGCCCAGCTTCCACGGGAGGGGGGTTGATAGGGCGGGGTGGGGAGGAAGCCTAGAAATGGACATGGGGAGAGGAGGTGAGAGAAAAGTCCTCCAGTCACGGTGGGGGAGTGAGGGAAGATAGGCAGCACCCCAAACCCTGGGTGCTAGCTGAGGTGAGCAGAGCCACCGCCGGAGACCCTGGCCCGCTGCGGGTGGGTGCCAGGCCCTAGGCCCCACCTGAAGAGTTATAGCCAGTGGACCTGCTCAGGAGTGACCAGTTGCTTGAGCCTTCTTTATTTCCTGCCGGGGAGAAAGGAAGAGAGGCTGGGAAAAGGTAGAGGGTCTCGCCCAGGGCCTGGGGCCACCATATCACCTGTCCCAGCCCATTTTCCCCGATTGCCAGACAGAGGTCTGAGGCCCCACCTCCACCCCCAGCCCACCTCGGAGAGCGCCTCCTTCAGGGCCCAGTAGGCCTTGTCCAGACTGTCGTTGACGATGATCAGGTCAAACAGGCCGGGCTCCTCGCCTGAGGGTGGGGGCAGGGTCAGTGGAGGCTCTGGTGACAGAGGCGGGGGTCTGGGGACCCTTCACGTGGACCACAGTGCTGGGTGATGGCTCCAGTCCTCCTCTGCCCCTTGCTGGGTGGGACTGTTCTACCGTGGGGGTTGGAGAGGGTCCAGGGACACGGAGTGATAGGTGCCCACACTCACTGCTCTCCATGTCAGCCCGGGCAGCAGCCAGACGCTTAGCCAGGCTCTCCTCCGTCTCTGTGTTCCGCTGCCGCAGCCGCTGCTCCTGAGATGAAGTACGAAAGTCAGAAGGTCAGAGCCTCCAGGGTTGCCCCCCCGCCCTCCTCCCTCAGCCCCCACCAGGACATCCAGTGAGGGTGGCTGCACAAAGATGTAGACAGGCCGCAGGTCGGTCTTCTTGATGTTGCGCACGCCCTGCAGGTCCACATCCAGCACGCAGATGCGGTTCATGGCCTGCACAGCCCGCACAGCTGCTTTGCTGGGGAATGATAGGAGGGAGGCTGCTCAGCTGTGGGCTCCTGAGGCCCTAGTAGACCCCACGGCCTCGAAGAGCCTCAGTGGGACCATCCACTGCCCATCCCTTGCTCTGGGCCTCTCTGGGGGTGCCCACAGGGGCCCACCCTAACTGTGGCATCTGTTCCCCCTTTCTGGAAGTACTCCCTGAGCAACCCTTGCACAAGGGGGCCCTCTGCTGGTCCGGTGTGGCGGTAGGGAGGGGCACCTTCAGACCCTGGCCCAGGGCCTCTCCTTCTCCTGGCACCTGCTCCCAGGCCCCACACCACTCCATCACCCCAATTTGTCCCACCTGCCAATCATACCTCCAGAAGCTTCTGGCATCACCCCCTGGATCGTGCCCTCAGGCTAGCGATGGCAACCACCCTCCCATATCCTGCATGCTGGGGGCCTGCTTGGAGAGGGATACCCTGGCTATGGCCCCCAAAGAACTACACGGCACGCCCTTGGGTTTCCTCATCCCCTGGCCACCCTTTGTAGGCCTTGGTCCCTCACCCTAGGGTCACCACATACCATGTGCTCCTCATCCACTGGGGGCAGTGCCCCTCAGCAGGCATTGTGTGTCCCAACAGTGGCCAAATGACCCCACTTGGCAGCCCACCACTCTACCCATCTGCACCTGGGGCAGAGTATGCTGGGTCCTGTGGGGTCCCTGCCTCACTCAGCTAGGTGGCTCAGGGACAGGCTATGCACAGAGGCATGCCTGCTTGTGTCAAGGCACTGCTTCCAGGCCTTGCAAGACAGGTGCGAGGAGCCAGCAAAGACCCCATTCTGGTGGGTTGTTGGGAGGGGCAGCTGCTGTTGTGCCAGGGACCCTCTCAGGCTACCTCAGGGGTTGGAGGTGGGGGGGGCATAGTGCAACCTGCCGACCTATGAGACCCAGGTCCCCCAAGTCCTCACTGCATACCAGGCCCTTGTGTGGCCCACTGTTCTCACAGCAGCCTGGCCAGGTAGACACAAGTGAGTCTGGGCCAGGAGGGAGTGGCCTAGAGAGCCCTGACTGTGGCTACATCCTGACCCCTGGGGGGCTGGGTCCCTTGCCCCAACTGCCCAGACGGCCCATAGAAAGAAACCCCCCACCTGGGGCCCAGCCAAGGGGAGACCCGCTGCCCAGGGCCCACAGAGAGATACCCCTGCCTGGGCTGCCCACTCTAGGTTCCTGAGAGAACTGGAGGAAGGGAGGGCCCCAAGCATGGCCCACCTGGTCCCATACAAGTTCCCTGAGAACTCGGCATGCTCGATGAAGTCTCCGGCGGCAATGTCCCGCTGCATCACCTCCCTGGTCACAAAGTAGTAATCTGCAGAGGAGCAGGAGCTGATGGGGAGACTGAGGCCTCATGCATCACTCTGACAAATGGAGGGCTGCTCCAGTTCTGTGCTGGAGCACTGAGGCTGGCCGAGCTCACCTTTGCCGTTCTCCTCTCCTGGCCTCGGGTCCCTTGTGGTGTCTAGGAACAAGTACCAGTGACTGCCTTGGGACGACACCTGGAGCCCCAGGCATCCCATCCCCAGGGCCTTGCCCACAGGGCCTGGCTCAGCCCATCTGGGGGTGTGGGAGAGGAGGCTCCAGGTTAGGGTCAGCAGTGTGGGGGCTTCCGCCCCACCGTGTGGGAGTGTGGGGGGCTTCAGAGCATGTCAGCAGGGGTCCCCGCCCCCAGCTTCCTTGAGACCCTCCCCCACCTCCCCTGGGGCCTCACGGGACACGCTGAAGCCGAAGATGCTGCTGTGTTCCTGCAGGAGTCTCTTCAGTAGGGTGCTCTTCCCAGCCCCTGAGGGTCCGCTCAGGACAACGGGCCTTGGTCCTGACATCCCTGTAGCGGGAGACGGGGGAGACAAATATCAGCAGGGCCTTGCTCCCTATGGAAGTGGGCGAGGTGGCTGCAGTGCCCCCACCTCTGCCCCAAGTGAATTCACACCAGAAATTGGGCAGAGCTGTGGGCAGTCACTCAGAGCCATGCTCAAACCCTGGCTATGCCTCCTTTTGGGCGTGCTGCCTGGTAATACATGCATTGACCACAAATGTGTGGCCTCCCCAGCTGTCCACTCCTATCCCACCGTCAAGGAGCTCCTGGGAGGGGCATGTCCGGGTCCCAATTCCTGTGTCTCCTGGTACCACACCCCAGAGGTGCCCTTGGTCAAGGTTGGCGGAACCCAAGCTCTGTTCTGGGAACTTCCACTGAAAAGCAAGGGGCTGACCACAAACGACCAGAGCTTCCTGACTCCCCTTCTCTGATACTTGGGTCTCATGAAGCCAGCAGGAGAGCAATGGGTGCCACCCTCCCAGCTCATAGCACAGGGCTCAGACACCTGCCACAGGTGAAAACACCGAGGGCAGGAATAGTGGGGGAGCTCTGGAAGCATCAGCTTAGCCTGCTCTGTGCCCATCGGATCACCCCAGCACCCCTCATACAGGACCTACCTTCTGCGTGGGGTGCAGCCTCCATGCTCACCTTGGGGCTGCTCGGGATGAGCCGAGAGGAAAGTGGTAATCCTTGCCTGCTCCCCACCCTCTAAGCACTAAATCCCTCCCAGGGCAGCCAGCACCACCTGCTCAGCAGAGGGCAAAGGCTGCTCCTCACCCTAGAGATGCACATTTGCCCACCCAGCCACATAAGCAAGATGGGCTGAGGAAGGTCAGGTGCATCAGGAGCCTCAGAAGACAGGAATCGAGGCAGGCACTGAGCTAGGGGGCTGGGAGGCTGTGTTGCTCCGGAGGGAGACCCTGGGAGGGCATGTGGTGAGCTTGCCTACCCCAGCAGGGCTCTGTCTGTGGGGTGCCTGGTAAGGTGTGGAGGAGCAGTCAGTGGCCAGCAGACCAGCGATGAGGCCCAGGAGGGACAGGCCACTCTGCTCGGGGACACCCAGTCATCTAGACCAGGGCAGCTCTCCAGCAGGGCCCCAGGTGGTCACTGCTTTCCTAATCCGCAATGAGGCCAACCTGGGTAATCTGGCTAAAGCATAGCTAGCTATTCTGGGACCATCATGCCGTATGCAAACAACCCGGAGAAGGAGTCGGGAAACAGATACATTCCCCTGCTGAAGAGAGATAGAAGAAATGGACCCAGAGGAGCTCATCAATTACCTGTCACTTCTAAGTGACCCGTTCTCAGTTCCCTTGTCTCTTCCAAGTTTCCTATTACAACAGTACACCGTTTTTATCTAGCAACGGTCCCACTGGACTCCTAACTCCTTTCTGGTGTCTTGACTTCCCCACCCAGGCACAGTGCCGACATACAAATGCCCACATGTGTGTGTGTCCGACTCCAAGCCCACTGCTGTTGCTGCCCAATAGACTGCAGCCCCCTCCCTACCCTAAGGACTGGTGCATGGGAAGGTCTCATCTCTGGCTCACTGTTGGCCTTCACAAAGTTCCTTCTCTTGCAGAATGAACGTCCTGTGGGCAATCCAGACCACCCCCCCCGCCCCCGCTGGGTCTGTCCTGACTTGACAGTGAGTGACCAGGGTTGTGGGGAGAGCTATGTCGGGGTGGAGGAGCATAGGAGGACAGAGGAGATATTGGGGGCCAGTCGGTCCCTGAGCAAGGTTGCTGCTCCTAGAGAAGCCCTGGCAAGAGAAAGGCTATGGAGGCTGGGGTCTGCCACCACACTGCCTGGCCTCTGGACTGTGCCGAGTCACCGCCGCACACACACTGCCTCCCCCGCCTTGCAAGCAGGGCGGCTGTGTTTGTTCAGCAGTGTAGGTCTTCCCAGGACCCGGCAGCATGTAGGCGCCACAGGAATGTGAGTTCCTCCAGGGCGGGGGCAACATCAAGTGGACACATGGCAATGCTCACAAGAGATGGACCAGAAAGCCTACCTGGGCCTTGCTCACAGCAACAAACCCTCAACTCAGTGGATGCAGCTGGTGCCTTCTGGACCCAACTTGGGGTATCCACCTCCAGGGAGGGGAGGACCCATCCTGCCTATCTATGAAGAAGCCCCTCAGGAACACTATGCTCCTTTGCCATGTGTCCAACTGGAACAGGTGCCCCACCCTCACATCCCACAGCCCCCAACTGTAAACCTGCCAGCAACACCCAGAGGCTACATGGTCTTGACCTGCCCTGTGCCTCCAGGCCAGCACACAGGCCCCTAACATGTTTCCCTGGCAGTTCCTGCCCTGTTCCCCATGCCTGCAATCATAGCCAGATGTTGTGGTCATAAGCTCTAACATCTGGACACTGCAAACCTACACAGGGAAGACATGTCTTCAGTCAGGACCAAACACTACACATGGAAGTTCCAGCGCCTGAAACCCTCAAGGAGCATGCTGTGCACAAGTCTTACTCATCATCTTACCTGGTTTCTATCTGGCTTTCTACCCCATGTCATGAACCCTGGGGGCATGCGCACGGCACCTGCATCCCACTGAGACCTCCCATCCCCAGCCCAACAACCACTGGCAGTAAGCAGCAGGTATGTATGCACGCATGGGGTTTGGCTGATGGCTGCAAAGTTCACTGCCTGCCTGGGTCCAAATCATCACCCTACCCTGCCAGCCCACTCCTCACAGGGTATCCTCCTGAGCCCCAACCTGCCCCTCAAGTCCAGGCCCCAGGCCTTCCCAGTGCTGGCCATCCATCGTGCCCTCCTTCAAAGGTTACACTACTGATGACAAGGGGAGGGCGCACCCACCTGCCTTGAGGTGGGTGGGATCCAGAGTCCTTCCTCTTGTGGGGCTCTTCCCTGAGGTCACCTCCTCTTAGCACGAGGGCCCGAGCCACAGTGACCACATCGGAGTGGACTAGCCCTGCAGAAGGCACTTGGGGAGTCGCTGGGTACTGGTCTCCACCCAGTGATCATGGTGATAGAGTGCTCACTAAAGCTACCTTTGACAGGAGCACACTCAGTGTGGGACAGACCTCAGGGCCTCTCAGTCCCAGCGATCAAGTGTGCCAGATACCCCTGAGCCTGATTTTGGCCCCAGCAGCTGGTAGAACTGACTGGCAGTTAGGAATGCTCTGTATCCTCTACTCCTTGACTATTCCACAATTCTGAACCCCAGCTTCCTGGCAAGAAACTGGAAATTTCATAAGGACAGCAATAAGGATCAGGGATGCAATTTCTGTAGGAGTCACTGGTGCAAGCCTGTGCATTCTGGAATGCTCTCTGCTGGAAGCCCTCACCAGGAGCTCCTCAGGCAGCCCTGGAAGGCTTGCCTCGAGAAGCATTTCCTTCTCTCCTTCTTGCTTCCACCTGCCTTCCCGCCCTGTCCCAAGGGCTGGGCATGGCCACCACCCCACTTCCCTCCCCACTCCTCCATGAGACACTAAGACAAGGTGCAACCCTCTGAGAATACACAGAAGAGAAAGTCAAACCCCATCAGCCCTCTTGCGAAACACAAGCCACAAAACATGAGTTGATCTGGGTTAGGATAGCTGGTCATGCCCTATGCCCCAAAAAGGCTGTGTGGGACAGGAGGAATACCCTGGCCTTGGCCTCAGGTGCTCCGTGTGTGGGACATGTCCTGGCCCAATGACCTCAAGAAACCACTTAACCTTCAAGAACCTGACTTGAAGTGGGAGAGCCACAACGCAGCCAGCGAGTTTCTTCTCACCGCCTCTCCTGGCAGTGGGGTGAGACCATGCCTTCCCTGAGAGGAAGCTTGTCCTTCAAAAGTGTTGGTAAGAAGCCACACTATGGAGGACTCAGGCCTGTCATGGCACTACACAACTGCATCTGGATCTCTTTCCATCAAGAAGAACCGGGATTCAGTCCCACATGAGATCCTCAGTTCTAGCCCTAAGGGAAGGCAGAGGGAGCATGAAAGGGAAAGGGGTCCAGGACATACAAATCATGGAGCAAGAAAAAGCCCAAGCCCTTCTGGTTGGGGCAGCGTTCACTCTCACAGAGAGGGGAACAAAGATCAAGCACAACCAGGGTCAGCCAGGGACCAGGGGAAATCAAGGCCCAGCACGCACAGGATCAGAGAAGGACCCAGGGGGAACAGAGGCCTGGTACACAGGTTCAGCCAGGGGTCAGAGCTGGCTGAAGGGCACCTGCCTCCATACCAGTGCCCCAACAGCTCACTCTCTGTGCTTCCCCTTTTCTCCTCGAGGACTGGGGTCACTTCCTTCCACCCCCAACCACATCATAATACCTTCCTTCTTGCTCTTCCTCAAATCCTCTGAACGTGTTTCTTGGGCTATGCTAAATGTGACGCAAAAGATGGAGATCAACAGTTCAAGTGTTTAAAAAAAAAAGTTTGGGTGTGGCTGAAGAAAAATGTACAACTTCAGAACTTGCAGAATCTGCTACTCAAATAAACTGCTGATCTTACCAGTTCCAGACAAAGGTCAAGGGCTGGATCAACGTGTTCTCAGAATCTAAAGGAAAGCCCAAGCAAACTACACCTATCCCAGGTGTGGTACCATCCCAGATCACAAGCTGGCCTGGTGTGTGCAGGCAAGTGTGTGCTCACGTGGCAGGAAATTCATCTTGTCAATGATAGGACAGGAAGCCACACCCACCCCACATCCCTCCTGGTGGCAAAGGTGAAGGTTTTCCTGGGTCCCTCACAAGTCATGGTCTGGGAAGTGAAAGAGTGACAGAAAAGTCCACATTTGGCCAGGCATGCTGCCAAGGGGCACTCACAGGGGACTCGTGCAAGGCTGACCATGAGAAGCACATCTTGGCCTCCCTCCTCCTGTCCCCATGGGCCTCATCCCACACTGGTCAATCATCACCTGATCTTCCACATCCTCCACCCCTATCAAAGGACACTGATAACACGTGAGGTGGCACCCCTCACTGCTCCTCCGCAAACCAACATCTGGGTGGAGAGTCACTCCCTCTCACTGCTCCCAAAAGAATGTCTAAAATCAGCAGATGGGCAGCTCCAGCAACCTAGACTTGAGGTGTCTTGTCCTGAGGGAAGCTGAACCCCAGCTACCATGCCCACGAGTCAGGAAGGCCTGCCACCAACAACCTGCTCCTGCGTGGAGTACCCATATCTGCAATGTCCAGCAGCGCTGGGCTGTGGGGCTGGCCAGGAACCTGCAGCAGTCCCAGGGGCCCTCTTGGCTGGGAGTCCTTGGAGCAGTCAGCTCCGTCCACCTAGGACGCCCCTGCGTTTGCAATATTTGGGAACCAAACATAGCACCAAAGCTGGACCACCGGGAGGGTTTCCCAACTGTTATCTGTGCTGCTCCTCTTGAGCTCGGGGTAGACTACGTATATCTAAAGGCCAGGTGAGCTAATCGGGACTTCTGCGACTCTGCCATACCAGGGGCAACCTAAGGTCTTTCAAAACCCTGATCTCGCAGGGTTTTCGGCTCTGCTGTGTGGCCCACCTTGGAGAGCGGTGTCAGGCTGCTTCCGCTCTCTGCCCCTACGCATCCTGCAGGGTCCACAATGGCATCCAGCATGAAGTCCTCAAGCTGCAGGGGTTTTACAAGCTGTTTGGAGCTTCCCGTGCCAGGAGAATTTCCTCCTACATTTTGAGGACTGTCACAGGGGAACCAGCTTTTAATTTGTCTAAGTAAAATAGTAACTACCAAAAGCAATTCTAAAACACAGACACGCGGGATACAACTTCAAAGCGATGGAAAGCCTCCCTGAATTTGCCTCCATGAGAAGACACACTACCCTCTCCTTGTCGACCCTGCTCTGCTCGCCCCGAGACGGAACTCTGGAAACCACTGAGGACCGCCGAGGGCAATTTCGGTGGCTGGCGGGATGACAGAATTCACGAGCACAGCCCCACGAGTCCCTCAGGCAGGTCCACGACACCGGCGCTCAGCACGGGCTCTGGCGGCCCCTCGCACGCAAGCAGCGGCGGTCCCCGTCTCTCCTCCGCGGATTCAGACAGCGACACGCGAGCCCGGGACCGGACTCCCCAGGAAGACCCTCCCGTGGGCCTGCGCGCGCCCGGACCTCCGCCCCCATGCGAGGGGCCGCCACTCACCGTCCGAGGGGGCCCGGCCCAGGGCGGCCGCCGCCAGCCCGGCCAGCGGGCGCCGCAGCATGAAGGGTCGCCGCCACCGCCCGCGGGGACGTACGTCACAGAGCAGCGCCGCGCCGGCCCGGCCTCCCTCCGCCCCTCAGAGAAGCACTTCAGCGCGGCGCCGGACCCGCCTCAGCCAGCGGCCAAGCTGGTCAGAGCTGCGCCGGCCTCGCCCCGCCTTTCAAGGCTATACGTCACCGCCGCACGACGCTGCGCTCGCCAGATGACGTTGTGGCGGTGCCGCAGGAGAACTGAAAGCTGCGTTTACAGTGATTGTGGATTGGGCTCTGGCCAGTCTGGCGCCCGATTGGCCAGTGGCTGCCTGGCCGCTGGTCCTCGAGGCCGCTCCGGAGGCGGTGAGGGTAGCAAGTTGGTGCCGGAAAGGCGCCGCGTCGCGCGGGTTTTGGAGGGCTTCCCCCAAGGGAGGGTCCGGGCCTCGCCGCAGGCCGCCATCGAGGGCGAGAGAACGGGCGGGTATCGCTTGGGAGGTTTATAGCATTTCGTTGCCTTGCTGAGTCACGTCCTAAGGCGGAAGGAAGCCTGCAGATGCCCTGCCCTGACTGAGGATAGCGAGGCAAACCTTCTCATCTCGGCCGGGAGGTCTCTTTTCCTGGGGTCTGAATGTCTGATACATCAGGTCTTCGACATTTGAAACAACTGGTTTGTCACCGCGGAAACCTCAGTTTCCCCAGGACTCAAGGTTTAGTAAGCCGCGCTGCCCTTTTGTAATCTTTACCTCGCTGGATTTTGTGAGAATGCAATGACCTTGGAAAACAAGGTATGAGCTAGTCTTCTCCGTTTACGTTGCATTCCATCCTCAGAGTGGCTTCCCTGACTCAGCAACCCACCAGAAAGGTCCCGGGCCCTGCTGCAGACGTACTAAGTCAGAGTTTTGGGGAGTAGGACTGGGGCGTCTCCGGGTCAAAAACGTTCCACAGGTGATTCTAATGCCAGGTCAGGGCTGGAAGCCTGATAGGTTACTGGGCAAGACTGGCACTGACCTGGTAATGTCTCGGAGACCGCTTTGTTCCCGGCTGGGATTTGGTGAGAAACAGGTGGAAAAGCCTGCCTTTTAAAAAGATCTCTCATTTCTTTGCCTAGCAGGTCACACACTGGGCCAGTGACTGACCCTGGGCTTTCACGTGCTGCAGGAGGAATGGTGGCCAAGGGCAGACTGCTTGGGTAAGCATGGACTTCCAGGCCTCTTGGGACTGCTGTAATGGGGCCACCCAAAGAATGCCAACTCAAGAGCCTTAGGCTCTGCTGCCTCAGGAAAACCTCCAGAGCCAGTGTGTTTATCTGGAGAATACATACAAGTACATATGTGTGGACACCTTAGCAGTGTTGAAGGAGGAATGGAAGTGACTTGTGAGTACCTGGCACCGGACAGATGTGATGGTGGTCACTGTCCTATTCAGAGCCTGTGGGCCAGCCATGGAGAACATCATGGCCTTCCTTCTCTTACCACCAGAACTGCCTCCCCGTCTGCGTGTTCCTCTCACTCCCTGGTCTCCCCCAAGTGAGAAGTATTGATGGAGAAGAAAATGAATGCAGGTTTTGAATTGTTTCTGTGGAATCTAGGGAGAGGGATGTGGCACCTGAAGCTGTGGGTTAGTATGAAGATGGAGAAGGGACTCGGGCTGCAGCGTTCCCAGGAGGGCCCTCATTGCCGGGGAAGGTTCATGTTGGAACTGCAACTGCTGTTTGGTGGGAAAACATCC